CGTCAGTTTCGTTTCCCACCAATCCGAGCCACTTCGGACATTTCCGGGATTTAACTCCGCTGTGCTCCGCTCGTGTCAAATAGACTCACGAGTCAAATGCCGTTTACCGCACTTGTAGCACAATATACTATTTTCTGCATTGACTTTTATATTTAAAAAAAAGCGTTTTTAAAGCTACCACATTTTCATTTATTATTTTATCTGTTCCTCTTCCTTTTAAGTCGACAACGTAGAAAATTAAATATTTTCATTACCTGTTCAGTTCTCTTTTATACGAATTAACCTCGTTTTCTTTACCTTCTTTTGCATACTTTTCTCTTGCTTCTCTTACTTTTTCATTTTCTTTGATATCTGTTAACCTTTTTATTGGTATTAAAAATTCCTCTTACCATTGAAATTACTCTATATCCTTTTTTAAATTTATTATTTCTATCAACATTTTAAAATATTTCTTTATTCCTATTTTTTGCTTTTATGTTAAAAATTCAATTCACCTCTTCTTACCTTAGACGTGCTCTTTCTGTGCTGAAGCAAAAAATTAAATTGATATTTATGATACTTTCAAAATCTTTTATATTAAATATTCTATCCCATTTATTTATTTGTTTTCCTTTACCCCTATATACAACTTTTTTTTCTAGTGTCTTTTCTTGTTTTCGAATTAAAGGTTTTTTCTATTAAATAGTTTTTTACTTGTTTTATTTGTTTAGGCGCTTTTTTGCATTTGCCTTTACGATTATTAATATTCTTTTTAGCATTTTATTCGTTTTTATATTAAATTTCCTTCACTTATTCCATTTTTTTACGTTTTCTTTAATCTTTGTCTACCCGTTATTTTGTCCGATTTCTTTATATGTTTTTTTTAATCTTTTAGAGGTAAACGTTATTTACTAATCTTTTAACATTATTCTCACGTTAGTTGTTGCACTGTTTACTTGTATTAAATATGTTTTTTCTTCTTTCAACTAATTTACGATTTCTGTAATTTGCAATTTTTCTTATTATTTCAAGTATTTTAAAAAATTTTGTTTCATAACGGCGATGTTTGGGCTTTTTATAACTCGCCTATAATTTCCGACGACCTTAACACGTTTCAGTTTAACATTTCAACCCGACAAGATCGATGAACGTAACGCTCTAGAAAATAGCTCTGGCGTATAAACGCACGGGTTCCGTTCTCAACCCCCCGCTAAATTATTTAATGTGCTTTCAGGTGGGTCTCGAAATAATGGGAAACGTCTTCTTGTATTTTCTCGTCAGACGGTTGCTTTTAAAAATATTAGACTTCTTTTCTCTGGTTCTGGATGTGAGAGACGCTCTCGTTGATAAAGACACGACATCTTTAACGACAAAGGTACGCCCGCCCATATCTTTCGGTGGAGGTTTCGTAGGGGTATCGCGGGAGCGCGTTTTGTAGTACAAAGGAAAATGAAAAATGCGCGAATATTTTTTTTTTCAAAAAACGTGAGTTCATAAAACTAATGGGTAAGGCGATTTCTAAAAATGTCTTAGTAAGTAGATAAGCGACGCTGGTTTCCGAACGGAACTGCTTACGTCACCTCAAACGTCAAGATTTGACATTTACACAATGAAAATGACAATAATTTCCTTAAAAACAAGAAATTTTCTTTTCTTAAAAAAAATCAAAATTTTTTGAATTTTTAAAGTTAACATAATATTCAAGCCGAAAAAATTTACTAAATTATTTCTAAGAAAATATGAAAAGGAAATTATATGTTTACTTCGATATCCATAATAATACCGGAATGCCATAATGAGGTATGGTATTCTTGTAGTAATGTAATCTCAAACGATAAAACATGGCGTTTATGATGTTATATAATTTAAATATAGCAATTTGTTATTAAGAGTTCAAATTGAATATCGCACAAGGGCTCGAATCTTTCAAATTGGCACGAAAAAATCCGAATTAATTTATTTTCGTACTTTTTTTTGAAAATGGATTTACAGGTGTGCAAGTAAATTAATGTATTGCACAAGTAAAAGATAGATGGAGCTCCTAGCAAGAATATAACAATGAAACAAATAACAATAACCATCTGGCTATACCGGAACTGTTGTTTTTATCGCGTTGCATTCGCATGGAAACTTCGATAACAAGTTTAACGATAATAAACGAAACGAGATTTCCATTTCAATTTGTCTAGACGGAAACCTAGTGTTGTTATTTATTCCGTGTGTATTTACGTTTCAGACGGCTTTAAGGGCAGTTTTCAAACTTTTCGCGAAAGTCGGACTCTATCTCGTCGGAGGAGTAGCTCTGCTTGCTGTCGGTGGTATTTTCACGACCCTGCTGTGCAATCTGACTCCCATATGTACCATTTCGTTTAACGGATACGATCTCAAGGTAATGTGTTCGCAACCACTATGTTTGTTATGCGCTTTGGTCTTTGGTGACATTCAAATTATGCCTTTGTGTATTGTAATAAGAAGATTTTACTTACAAAAATAAGTATATTTTGTTACTTTAAATTTGTATTTTCCAGAAAACGGAAATTGAATATAAAAGCAAATGAAAGGCTAAAAAGAACGTTAATAATCGAATAGGCAAATAAATGAAAAAAAAAAATCCTAAACAAACAAAAAAAGTAAAAAAATAGTTCGAAAAGTGAGTTTTGAGAACCGTTTTTTTTTTAATGTGACTTATTTTTCGGTATTTTTTGCAAAATTGTATGTTGCACGTAGCTTTGGTTCCAGGCGTTGGACAAGGAGACCGTAAGGTCTCTAATGACCCCCGACAAGATAGCGACCGCTGCCGCCCTTGTGCAGGACGCCATTGGAAAGTACCAGCGGCTTCAAAGGGCAGTGGGACAATAGATCCCGGAAATCGGTGTATAAAGTTAAAATCCTAAAAAAAAACAACTCATCTTTCCAAAGAGATAGACGACAATCGGTGTATCTGTTTTTGATCCAATTTTAGTAAACAATGCAATGATAAAAATGGTACATGGAGATCTGTTGGGGTACCTTTTGGAAAGAGTGTATCTTTATAACTTTTTTCATATAGAAAATTTATACGATAACAATTGAGTAGCACTTTTTACGTGGCATTTAATGTATATTTCATTTTTTAAAGTACTCGCTTAGTAGTTAATCAACAGAGAACAGTATTAACAGGGTTTTTCTAACAAATTCATTATACGTTCATCGAGACGTAACTTACAAACGCATTTGAATTCTTAGGCTTAAGCAAAGTGCCGAGCGTACCTCTTTTTAAAAATATTTTATAAATCAAAATTTGCAAAAACTGTTGAAAGTGACGTCTTCTATCTCTGACTATCTGAATTTAAAATATTGTCGCGTCTTTTTTTGAATACGCAATAATGCTGAACCCAGCAACAGATGTCCATATGCTAGTTTATGAAGATCGAGCTGTATACACCTATATGATTGTTAAAAAAAGTTGGCACTCCCTGTACAGTAAAAATTATAACGTGTGTCGTCGTGATAGCAGATTCTTTGTCGAGAATTGTCAAGTGTATGTTTTTAGAGTCTAATAAATACCTGAACTAATGAACCCATATTTTCTTCATGTCCTTCCCTAACAAAACCTTCGTGTTTGTTTGGTTGCGGCCTTTTGCCATCATTTGGACAGCCGTCAAAACGCGAACTCAAACGTCGCATTTCTAATTGAACGTCCATTTGGTAAAACGTTGTCTACTTTTATACTGGATGTCCAAAATTGATTTTGTAAATATTCACATTAGATAACAGAAATGACGGAAATGGCAACTTACGACTATTTTTTTATAATATGAAAGTCGAATTTTCAAAAACCATAAAGTTCACATACATCAAAAATGGTTTGACGTAAGTTTTGGTTATTATACACGAAATATGTTTAGAATTCCATATTTAACTTACCCTATATTTACAGGGTGTTTATAAAATAGGTGGCAATTTTTAAATAAAAAATGGGTAATTAATTGTGTGGGTTCCAAGATACTGTATTGGAAAACTTCATCTACCAGGAAATGTGGGAGATCCCGGGCTTTAATCGCTAATTCTGTAATTTTCTCGATTATGTACAGGGTGTATCGGTTATAGTCAAAAAACTAAAAGACCCTGGTAAAGTATTAGCTGCAAATGAGAAACTGTAAATGATAGGAAAATTTTGTTTAGAAGGTATTACGAACTGTGCCAAGAGCTTGAGAAGTACGGACCTGTTCGGCCATATTTAATTCTTACAGCTTGCCCGGGTCTTTCCTTAATTCGTATCGGTTAGTCACTTTCTTATATCTATGAACAGATTTTACCTGGTTGCCGACTTTGCCCGTAGTTTAGACAGGCGTCAAATCGAGAACTCTCTCTTAAGGTCTAACGTCACATTTCTAATTGAACGTCCATTTGGTAAAATGTTGTCTACTTTTATACTGGATTTCCAAAATTGATTTGTAAATATTCACATTAGATAACAGAAATGACGGAAATGGCAACTTACGACTATTTTTTTATAATATGAAAGTCGAATTTTCAAAAACCATAAAGTTCACATACATCAAAAATGGTTTGACATAAGTTTTGGTTATTATACACGAAATATGTTTAGAATTCCATATTTAACTTACCCTATATTTACAGGGTGTTTATAAAATAGGTGGCAATTTTTAAATAAAAAATGGGTAATTAATTTTGTGGGTTCCAAGATACTGTATTGGAAAACTTCATCTACCAGGAAATGTGGGAGATCCCGGGCTTTAATCGCTAATCCTGTAATTTTCTCGATTATGTACAGGGTGTATCGGTTATAGTAAAAAAACTAAAAGACCCTGAAAATTGCCGTTTTTATAGGTAAAATATTAGCCGCAAATGAGAAACTGTAAATGATAGGAAAATTTTGTTTAGAAGTTATTACGAACTGTGCCAAGAGCTTGAGAAGTACGGACCTGTTCGGCCATATTTAATTCTTACAGCTTGCCCGGGTCTTTCCTCAATTCGTATCAGTTAGTCACTTTCTTATATCTATGAACAGACTTTACCTGGTTGCCGACTTTGCCTGTAGTTTAGACAGGCGTCAAATCGAGAACCCCAACACCTCACGCCAATTTTCACCCACCATCTCTTAAGGCGTCGTGTTACACGTCTAATTGCAAATCCAGGGACGTCCGTCAAGCTAAATAAAAAACGTGTTTCTCGCTACTAATCTTAACCGACGTCGCGAAGCGTCCTGCGCACTGGCGTGGCTGCCGCCGGCGCGGGAATCCGGCCGGCGTCGCGACGCCAGTCGAACAGCGTACGCGAGACGCGAGTCCCCACGTGTGTCCCCCTCCCGGCGATTACGCTCGCGAACGTCGGACATCATCCGGTTTTCCCGGGTTTTAACTGATATTTCGAAAGTGTGACGTTGTGATAGTGTTTTGTTGGTTGCATACCCGTTGGGGTCGGCTTTTCACCCTGGTGCACCGCGGTGAGTTTTGGGTAAAAATCGGAATGAAACTGTCAATTTTTTTTGTTTTATTTAAAATACTAAACATAAAAATTTGCGTCAATTTCAAACTTTTACACCCAATGTTTGCCACTTTCTGTGGGAATTCCATTTAACGCTATTGTCAACCTCGTTTGATGCAAAACGACTTTTTTCCTCAACAATTTGTATTTTTATCTCCGTCTTGATTTCACTTATGCAATAAAATACGAGTAGAGTTGGTTACAAAAAAATTTAAAAGAAAATAATTAACATTAAATAAATAAAACTACTACTCGATAATAATCTATAATTTTTAGTTTCTATATTAGTCCAAAATTATTTGTTGAAGTCAGTCCAAGGTCTCGACATTCACCTCATTTAAATAATTTTATACATTCTTGCAGTATGTGGAAAAAAAGGATTTTTTCTTTGCACTTTCAAATCGTGGATACAGTCGACGGAGTCACTTTTCTTTTCTCCCCGTTCTATCTTCCGAATTAAGGCAACTTTAAGAGTGGCATTAGCTTGACTCAAAGTGTTGTCTAATATTATCGTCAGACTATAAGGACTATATTAAATTGTAAATATTACCTTTCATCCCCTCTAACTTTTTCATTTTTTATTAAAAAAAGTCAAATACAAAATGTGTTGATTTTTTGATGTGTTATATTTTTTGGTACACATTGTATATAAACACCTATGTAATAATTAATACACGTGCTAAGTTCTGCGACTTTTGTTTTAAACTTTTTTTCTGAAGTGAAAAATGCAACAATTAGAGCGGGGATTACATTATACATACATGAGCTTGTAGTCAAAAAAACGCAAAAAAATGACACCCTGTACATCGAAACTTCCATTAATGTTAGTGTCTATGCTTCCTATATTTTTAGCTTTTCTTTTATAATAATTAAAACGAATATGAAGACAAATAAATCGAAAACAAATAATTCAAAACATGACATAAGAAGACATCATAAGAACGGTAAAGTATGTAGAAATACGGAGAAAAGTTGAATAAATTGAGATCATAATATATATATATATATATATATATATATATATATATATATATATATATATATATATATATATATATATATATATATATATATATATATATATATATATATATATATATATATATATATATATATATATATATATATATATATATATATATATATATAATAAAAGACAATAATAAATTAATGAAAATAAATAACATGTTAAAGAAAATTAAATAAATATTAATAATTTTAATTTACTTATTTTTTTTTGTCAATTTTTCCTTTACTTTCTGCCTTTATTATGCGTTTGCGTTTATTATTACTATTACTTTTATTATTGTTATATTTAAAGTATAGGCAAATCCAAACCAAAGATAGGAAAGATGAAGAGCTATATTAATTTTTATATTGTTGATATATTTTTATATACATAAAGGTTTTTAAAAGGCTGGGAAATTATGGGACAGGTGAGGAAGAAGCACATTTTTATTACTTAATCAATCAATCTCTTTTTAAAAATTTATTTATGTTTATTTATTTATATTAGAAAATCGCAAATTCTTTTCAACGACAGGTCCCGGTTAAAATTACATGCTAAAGATGTCGTGACACGTGTCGATCGATATGATCGGAACGCTAAATCGGGGCACCAATTTGACATTTTATCTCAAATATTCATTGTTTCGTTTCGATGCACAATCCGGCTGGCGCGATTTTTATATTCCGCGCTTCAGAATAGAAATTGAGAATTTACTCCGACTCGCTAAATAATATATACCGCACGAACGCCCGGATAGAGTGGCGGAATACTTAAGAGTATGATATTGTAACAAATTTTCGAGTCTTTATACGCTTCCCAATTAAAAAATACAAAAGCAGGATTACCAAAGTATTAAACACCAAACTGTCAGCCAAGAATCAGGTCACAGCTATCAATCCCTGGGCTATTCCTGTACTCACGTACACTTTTGGGATATTGAAATGGTCCGAATCGGACCTTAATGAGTTAGGCAGACTAACCCGCCGTCTGATGACAAAATTCCGATGCTTGCACACAAATTCATCGGTATATTTCCAGAAAAAGCGGAGGCAGAGGTCTAGTGAACATCTATAGTCTATGCCGAATGCAAGAAATGCACCTAAGACAACGACTTCAAGACTCGCAGGACCGCTTAATACATTTGATCGCCGATGAGGACAAAGGGTTCACGCCACTTAATTCGCGGCACCGAGAAATCACGTTTGATCTGAACACGAGACAGGAAAACCAAACTTTGTGGAGGCAACAAACTCTACGTGGAAAATTCCCTAAAAGTCTGGATGCAGATCACAATGATAAGGTCGCCTCGATGGCTTGGTTGAACGCTGGATATCTATATCCCGAGACTGAAGGCTTTGTTATGTCTATTCAAGACAGAGTCATGAGAACCCGCAATTATGAAAAACTGCCTCAAACTCAACGTGGAGGACAACTGCAGAAAATGTGGCTCAGTTGGAGAATCGTATCGGAGAGAGCGTATATTTGAACCGTCATCACAAACTTGCTAAAATTATCCACCTCCAACTAGCCTTCTAGAAACATACCAACCGTATTATAAATACCAGCCCTCGGCTGTACTCGAACATGGCAGAGCTGTGCTGTACTGGGATAGACCTATTACAACGGATAGAACAGTGGAGTACAATAAACCCGATATCGTTCTTATAGACAAAGAAAAGAAAAATGCCTTCATAATTGATATCGCTGTTCCACTATCCCTCAATATCTGTAAAACTGAAGCAGAAAAAATACAAAAATACGAAAATACTGAAAAATATTTGTCAGCTCAAAAAAGTGTTTATCTACCCATTTGTAATTTCGGCGGGGGGAATTGTCTCCAAAAACTTCTCCAAAAATTTAAAAGACATCGGACTTCCACCGAACATCGTGGAATACGGACAGAAGGCTGTCATACTGCAGACATGCCACATTGTTCGTAAGTTTCTGAATTGAGTGGGAGGAATTGAACTGTTTTCTCGCCAGCAAGCAAAGCCTCGGGTGAAAACAGGCCAGTGAGAGCTGAGATGTACTCGTATAATAGTAATAATAAGCCCTGGAACCCGAACACTATTATAAATATCTAGGAATATAGATTCCATTAAAACTTGCCTTTTGTCATTTTTTTTTAAATCTAAAACTCATGTGTTGAATACACTTCCATAAGGTAAGTTCTGCCGCATTTAACTCCGGTTTCATCTTTTTCAATTTTCCTAATTAAGATATATAAATTTTACGCCGTATTGTATCTTGATCACTTTCATCTACACTCGAGAAAATGTTAGCATCGTTTCCTTTTTTCCTCGCTGAAATTTGATTATTTACAATTTTCCATACAGTTGATGTGGTCGTTTCTTCTAAAGATACACGATTCAACACACGCTGTATTACACACGAAGAAAGAATGATTACTAATGAACTTAAACTAAGTAGTATACCAAACCAAAGAATATTAAACACAGGTAGGTAATAAATTATTTTCTATTACGGACCACAATTTTACCTGAATTTAAATTCCGAAATTTTAGGTAATAATCTTGTTGAATTCAAAAGTTATTGCTCACTTTCTTATATCTGTGAACAGACCATATATTTCCTGGAGATTTAAATGCTTGAAATTGTTTAACGGTCCATCTGACCCTCTGGGTGTAACCAACAAATGTAAAAACGGGAAATTTTTTTACGGCAAATGGTTCGCCCGCCTCCATTAATACCCCCGTAAAATGGACTTTAATGTGGTTTCCCCCAGCTACGAAATTTCTAGAAACAAGTCCGCTCTTTGGTATTCATTTACATCGTCGGCGATTGAAATAATTTAGTCTCTCCCGCACGTGGCTCTTGTACGTGGGGCGGTCATCGGGAAGGGTCGCCGCGTTTACATTAAAATTTATGTAAAATTCGGGTCCCGGGGTCGGAGGGGTCGCTCACGCAATGTATGTTACGCGTTTCAGGGGGACGAGGGTATCCGTGACACTTGAATTTACTTAAATAATTCACTTAAAAAAGAATTGCACACGCGGGATGGGGGCGGGTGATTTTTTTTGCTGTTGAGCTTCGTGAGTGACTTATAAAAATTATATTCTTACTTTCTTGTTGCTTTCCGACAAGTGAAGAATAGTTAGTAGGAGTCTGTGTTCTGTTTTTTTAAAAGAAAATTTCGCATTCTACTGTAATACTTTTTACACATTTTTTTTTTGATTTTGCTAGTCAGTGTACAAAACCTATTAAAAATCGGTAGGATGAAAATTGTAAAAATGTTTTGGAATATAAATGTTGCTTCAACAACAACCTACTTTTTAATTTTGTTTTGAGTTCGTTTTGATTTTTTTTTAATTAATATTAATACAAACCTGAACCTAACAATTTTTGCAAAAAAAATAATGGTAATTCACACCTTAAAAAGTCAACGTGGGCAGTCAACTCAACTCAACATATCATCAATAGAATTGGCACTTGGTCCCTTAAGTACTACATAATTCGAAAAAAATAACATTTCTGGAGTTTTATCTTTATTTAATTTAAGATAATTTGGGAAATCCCAAATATAGCCACATCACTTCTACTGGATTTCTGAACCTGCAAGTCTTTGGTACTAGAAACCGAAGAAGTGACATTTTCATGGCAAAAACCTTCCAAGGGCGAGGAAGAGCACCAAGAGGAAGAAGAAGATGAAGAAGTTGATCTGGGACCACCACCAACCGTTCAACAAGCCCTATGTACAGTTAAGCTGCTGGAGAAATTTTTTATGTATCACGGGGAAGAGGCCCCTCTCGAAGAAATGGTGAAAATTCAAGCCAAAGTACAATATGCGTATTGGCATACTAAAAAAATTCAAAAGAAAATGAAACATTCAATGTAGTTCTTAAATATTTATATAAAGTGTTTCTAAGTATATATTAAAATATGTATATAAAATAATTAAATATAGCGGAACACATATGAATATTGTTATT